TATACATGTCGACATATCAACATATATATGTATATATGGATGTTGAATGACAGATATATACATACATATGTATTCACACATACAAGAAAACAGACGTTGATGAATTGCATAACGCCATTGTTAATCGGTGCATATGAACTCTAAAACTTACCTGCATGACATGAATAAAGCGTTCTAAAGACTGTCACTTCTAGTTCTACAACATACCTTCATTGAATGACTGATTTGACTTAGTTACTCTCATTTCTCATGATCATTGAACTGTCTATCGTGTCTATAGCTTTTCCAGCTAATTTAAGGCAATTGTTATTGAGGTGTCGACATTGTTCATGGTAGAGAATTTGTTTTATTACAGGCAAGGATTCTTTCTAAAAATGCAACGACATTTCCACGAAACTCACGCACTTTTGCAAGACTGTACGAAGCATGTATATACATGTCGACATATCAACATATATATGTATATATGGATGTTGAATGACAGATATATACATAAGTATTCACACATACAAGAAAACAGACGTTCATGAATTGCATAACGCCATTGTTAATCGGTTATGTATGTATGTTATATGGATAATATGCGCTAGCATTGCAATACTTGTGTATATGACATACATACATATAGACATATAGATGCGTATTTACGGTAGCAATGTCTATTTAGGTATGATATATTGGTAATTATATGTTTAATGTCTGTAATTACATTGCAATTACGATTGCAAGAATTGCTCATACTATTTCCTCTCCGCAGTAAATGAGCTAGTAATAGTCATCATGCCCTCTCACGGGCATGTCGTCATGTATATCAATTAGCCCCCGCCCCCTGTGGCGCCGGTTTGACGAAGCGTACTTAAGTTAAGTATGATGGAATCACTAATGATCATGAACTTCGCGTAATTATGATTACTTAATCATACTTAAACATGTGGGGCCGGTTTGACGTTATACGTATGACGGTATACCTTCATAAAGCGTTTATCATGAACTACATCAGCGTGTTACTCATAACACGACAACGACTGCTGCATTCTATTACTCGTAGTCCTATAGGTATTGACCTGCTACTACTACTATTATGAATATGGTTTGGACTCTCACTGCTATTCGTACAACGTCTATTACTCTAGCTATACGTATATGGTATGGTAGTGCTAGCATAATTCAGCATTCCTACTCACATTGCCACTACTACTACTAGCATTAAAAAAGCTAGACCGATATGAGTGCTAGTACTAGCAATGACCCAGCGACTATCGTACTCGTATAGCTAGCTATACCTGTGTTCCTGCTGCAATGACTACTAACATTGTCACCTGCGCACTATAC